CTATAATATTTATATAAATTTATTTACTTATTTTGCACAAATTATTTGCAGTTTATGTTATGTATAATAAGAACATTTTTAATATTTTTTTATTGTAAAAACAATAATAATTTGTTTGATATAAATAGAATTTAGTTTCCTTGGAAAAACATTAAATTTGAAATGAAAAATCCTGAATTTGAAGCTATAAACTTATAAATTTTTAAAATTTATGTATGAAAACAGGGTGTTTTTTAACGCAGTTTAAAATAATAACCACAAGAATAAAATATAATTGAAATTGCGAAAACTTCAAGATGAGTGAAATACACCAAGCAGTTGTGTCATTCTGTTAGTAATTTTCACAATATAATCTTTCGACTTCTCTGCTTGGATGTCTGTTGAAATCAATTTTCTGAAGAAGACTTATATTTTAAGGGTCTCCACCTAAAAAGGTTCTATTAAAAATGCTTTAATAATCAGCAAAATTCGTCCTTAAATAACGGAGATATAAGAAAAATTCCCAAACAACCCATGAAAATATTATTCACAATATAGGAACTCTTGTTATTACATGGCACAGTGGAGCAGAATGATTTTTTTTTTTTTTTTGGAAATATATCTGGCTTTTCTAATTATGGTATAAAAAATATGTCTTAGTTTTAGAACATAATGCTCCTATAAATTTTATTGTGTTCTGTTAATTGATAAAGAATTTATTAAATATTTGTTTAGTTTCTAAAACTAGAATTGATGTCAAAATTTTAATATGTTTGTAAATTGTTTTAATTTGCACCATGTTTATCCCATTGTTTAGATAAGTTTATTCTGGATCTTACAAAAAAATTTCAAGTAATAAGATTCAAAAAATATACCGATATAAGACCTGCAAAAATTTTGTACAACATTTTTAGTAGACAATTTGCTATGTAAAAAAAGTGTTGCATAACTTGTGGATGAATAAAAATATTTTATACTGAAAAAATTTTACATTTTCAAATGAAGATGTTTAAGTGTCATGTGCTGTAAACATGAAAAAACATACATTGTACATTTCCTATTGCGAGAAGACTCAGATATATACATACATGCATATTTATACCCTACACCACTTTAGTGGGGAGGGTATATTGGATTTGTTCTGATGTTTGTAACATACAAAAATATTCGTGCTATACCCACCTTAAAGTATACCAATCGGCTTAGAATCGTTTTCTGAGTCGATTAAGCTATGTCCGTCCGTCTGGGTGGCTGTCCATGTAAGCCTTGTGCGCAAGGTACAGATCGCAATTTTCAAGAAAATTGGATGAAATTTGGCACACACGCTCTTCTTGGCCCAAGGACAAGCCTAGCTCCCATACAACAGAACCCCCCGAAAAGGGCTTCTCAGCTTATAATTATGTTAAATATACCTGTATATTGATAAAAAGCGGCACAACTAAGTTTCATACAAGTCTTGATGACCTCGCCAAATTTCATAAAGATCGGGCCTCATTTGACCATAGCTCCCATAAAAAGTACCCTTCAGAAAATTACTCCAATGCCCAAATTTAACGTATAAACACAAATATCGCGATGAAATTCAGCACAAATAAATATTAAGTAAATATTATATAAATACATTCACGAAACTTTATCGGGTTTGGTCCACATTTGCCCCTAGCCCCCCATATAAAGCCTCTTTCAGAAAATTTGTTTTTCATCCATAAATTGCTTAAATGTATCGGAACAGGGTAATATTGAACATAAATGCTTTATTATGAAAAATAAATATCATTTAATATTCATAGCTGGTGTAGGGTATCATATGGTCGGTCACGCCCGACTATACTTTCTTACTTGTTTTTATTTTTGTTCAAATTTATCAGCCCAGGTAAAAAAGCCTAATAAATGCAACAAGAAACAGATAATGTTTGTGAGTGGGCATTAGGGTGATAACTTTTATAAAATTGTTTAAAATTTTAAATTGGCCATTCCACATAGAGGATAAAAAAGTTCGTTAAAAAAATTGATATAAACTAGTGTCATTGTTTGGTCCACGACATTTACGCGAAAAAAGCAAAAATAAAACGATGTAATGCCAAAAGAATAACATTTATCGCCACTTCAAAAGTAGCACTAATTGAATTTTTTACCTTATGAGGAAGTGATGTTTAAAGACTTCCCAAGAGAGATAAAACATTTTGTATTTGGGCTTTTGTGTTAAATGGTCTATTACCCTAATTAATGTTAATATTATTTAAGTCAAATTAGTTGTATTATATAATACTACAATTTCACTTCCGAATAACTTCCAAAAAAAAAGAGCATTAAAATTACTTCTTGAGAATGACTTCAGAAATTAGTTGTATTATATAATTATTAGTTGTATTATATAATACTACAATTTCACTTCCGAATAACTTCCAAAAAAAGAGCATTAAAGTTACTTCTTGAGAATGACTTCAATGGCTAATTGTATTATGAATTTGGAATCAAATAAAAAGGACATCCCTCCTATGACAAGCCTGTGCTAAAATCATCACTTCTTCCGGTCGTTTTCAGTACTTCCATGGAGTAAATTCTACTTCTTTTTCGCTTCTTTGGAAGTTCTCTTTTTGCTGGGTAGCTACAATGTAGTGATGGGTCTTTATTTTGGTTAGAATCCTAGTGGGCATGTTTGCTGAGTATTTTCCCATCTTCGTCGTGTTCATTTTTTAAATTTAGCTGGCCAAAACCCTACAATTAAAAGGAAAAAATTACATTCGGGTTTACAAAAAAAACTATCTTTAACTAGAATCTATCATTAAATGCTTCTGACGGTAACATGAATGATGCGCTAAATATAAAGGGAAAAATAATTAATTTCGCTTGAAATTAATTGAAACTTTGTACATGTATAAAACATTTTCTATGGAATTTTTTAAAAAATTTTTTTACAAATGAAAATATAATTCCTTTGTGTCACACAGCAGGGATTTTGTATGTCCTTGAATGGAGACAATTTTAGTTATTGATAGATATATTAGAGAAGCTTTTAATACAAATTTTAAAATCAAACACAAAAATGCATGGACGAAAACTTTTTTCTGTTATTTTCTGTTAACTCTTGCCCGAAACTGCCTCTCCTGAATTTTTTTAATTCTGATGGCGTTTTATGACCACAGAGACCACACAATGTGATCTGGAATGCTGAAATTTGTCACAAATATTATTTATTAATAAGGTTTGTTTTGTATTGAAAATGAACAATCGGTCCACTCACATAGAAGTAACCCACCGGAAATACTTTCCAACGGTCATAAATATATTAGTTATATAGAAATACTGATAAAATTCAGCATTAATTAGTTTTATGTACCCATAAAATATACAGCAAAGTGTGCTAGATATCGGACTGAAAATGCTAGTACAGTAATAAAAATCGACACAAACGAGTTTTATTATAAGCTAAATCTATGTAAAAAATTTCTTGAAGATCGGTCGCTAAAGAAAATCGGTCATACGTTTTTTATTGATTCCTTTAAAATATAAATTACAATTAGATTTTTCTAATTTTCTTGTTTGCAATAAACTTTATTTAAAATTAATAAAATTGAAACAAATACATATTTTAAAATATTTGAATATTTTTCCCTATTTTACATAACTGGGCTATAAAAAGTGGGCGTGTCTAAATTAAAAAATCTAACACTGTGTGTCAATTTATATGAGTCCAAGAACAAGCTTTGATATAATATTTTATTTGATAAATATTTTGTTTTGAATTTGAATATTACAAAAAATCAAAAAATACCAATTGTAAAAGGGTAAGGTACCAAAAAATCCCCTTTTATAGACTGTACCAGACATAGAACAAAAAAGTAGAAAAAATCGTTTCCTCCAGATTTGTATTAACTTAAAAGTACCAAAAAGTCCCCTTTAACATGTTCTCCCTTACTACGGGCTCTACATGCTCAATTTAATGTTTCTAGCTTCAATATATTAGAAAATTCAAAAAGTACCTTTGAAGAACGAAAATGTACTAAAAAGTCCCTTTTTATAAGTCCTCACTTAATCAAGGCTATTTAATGCTTAATTTCATGTTTCAAGGTTCCATATTATTGAAAATTCAAAATGTACCTTTTGCAGAACGAAAAAGTACCAAAAAGTCTCTTATATGTATGTGTTCTCACTTAATCCGGACTCTACATACTTAATTTCATGTTTCTAAGTTCAATATTATAGAAAATTCAAAAAGTACCTTTTGTAGAACGAAAATGTACCAAAAACTCTATTTTTATTGGTTCTCCGGGCTCTACATACTTAATTTCATATTTCTAGGTTCAATATTATAGAAATTGTAGAACGAAAATTTACCGTATGATTATGTGTGTCGTTGAAGTTTGTTTATTATATTCTATCTCTGCATGTACGAAAAAGCTAAATTTTTGGTGAAATTTTCGGAGGTTGTCTCGGATTTTTGCTCTTATATCCGTTATTTATGAACCGATTTCGCTGATTTTAAATAGGAAACTACCCGAAGCATGGTTGAAGATTTGGATCCCGAAGATATCTGGGGTCTTCAGAAAATTGATTTCAACAAACAGACAGACGGACATAGCATAATCGACTTCGCTATCTATAAGGACTCGGAATATATATAGGGTCGGAAAATTTTATTACAGAAATTACAAATGGAATGACAAACTTATATATACCCTTCTCACGAAAGTGAAGGGTATGATTAGGTACGGTCCACTTTCATTTTGAGTTAATTTTCCGAATAACTTCTTTTTGTTTAAGTATAACTTCAATCTTCTCAAGGACTTTAGGCTACTCTCAACATTATATAAAGAGTTATAAGGCGATTTTGTCATTATGTTTGTAATACCCATGTATAAGTCGTAAAACCCTTAATACTTAAGCTTTGGAAAATTTACGAAAAATCCTGAACAGAAAGAAGCCTTATGTAAATAATATTTTAAAAACAAATTCTAAAATTAATATTTTTTTTAATAATTTCACTCTTTTTTTAATTTCTTTCCAGGTGAGTTTCAATCTTTTACAATTAATACAAATATTTGTAAGTATACAATTTTATTATAATCTAATTGATTAAAATATTTATTTCTCATATTTCAAGTTAATTTTATTTAAACTTCAATGGTTCCAGGTAAAACTTTTCTAACCTTTTCCATGCCGCCACAATTGATTACAACTAAAGTTTGTTTTTCATTAAGTTGACTTAATGAAACTTCCACCGTACATAAATCGAAATTACCAGTTGGCAGTAAAAGTTCCGTATCAAAATTATAAATGATGTGGGGTATAAATTTAAAGGCAACTTCTACAGCACTTAGACTTTAAAGAAAAGAATGATTATAGTTTTTATCTTAGAAGCAAATGACTTTTACACAAAAATTAAAAAGAAAAAACATACGTTAAATGAGGACCATCTTTTTCACTCAATTGACTTAGGCCATTTTTAAGTATCTCTACAGCTTTTGCAAAATCTTCACCAGATAACTAGACAATTATTTGTTAGTCGAATTAAATATTTCAATATTAATAAAAATTAGTAAAACTCACCTTTTGAGCTTTGATTTGCCATACCATTGTGGCAAGGAAAATACAAATTATTAATTTATGCATTTCTGCTTCAAATCAAAATGTAACAGTTTTTATTGATACTGAAAAGAATAATAAAATCATTTGGTATTTTATACACGATTTGGTTATGAAGCATTTACAAACAATTTCACAATGATAATTAATTCGTAATGTAAAATAAAAAACTATCTGTGTCCAGTATGCGTTACTGGTCCCAACTTTGGCTCTTAGAATTCTTTATGTATGTTTCATTTAATGTTGTAAGTTATGAAAGAATTAAAAAATTATTATAACGTATACGTCACATATTGTTTGCACACCCAACACTGCTCATATATGTAGATAGCGAAGTAAGTCAATTTTACCATGAGTTGTTAAATGTTCCTCGATTAATTTTACATGTGAAAAAAACAAAGTAGACGTATTATATATCAATGGAATGGAAATTATGTACATTTTTTTTAAATTAAAATTCATCCAAGACTTTTTTGAAAAATATGGCAAAAAATTTTATTTATGCGAAGATAAAATTTTTTTAAATTGAAATAAAATTATTATTTATAAATACATTTTATCGAAATTTTTACCAAAAAAAAAAAAAAATATATAATATACTTACCAGGGGCGGAATTATCGTTAGTTGTTAAGATTTTTTGCATTTTATTTCGGATTCCTATTTGATCGTATAAACCGTGACTATAACATTTTATAAAAAATGCAATGCCAAAGCGAATTAATTATATAATGCAAATTGATTATATGGTGGTGTCGAATTCAGTCAAAGTGGAGCGAATTCAATATAAACATATGGGGGCGTGTCAAAATTTCGTGTTAAAAATCTATGTCTTCCGATTTGGATGAAATTTGCACCAAGGTTAGTACTATGGGATAGTAATACAAATTTTCAGCTCTATCGGTCAAGAACTGCCGCAGTCAGAGGGGGTCAAAGTTGGACATTTTGGTCATGCAGGGATTTATTCAAATAAGTGTAACTTTTCACCTATTGGTCCTAGCAAAAATTGTCCAAAGGAGTTCAGATAGCAATTTTTTTATTCTTTCCAAATTCTTTTTTTAATTTTAAGAACATTTTTTTTTTTATTTTTAAAAAAAAATTTTAAATTTTATTTTCAATAACATAGATAGATATTGATATCAAAAAGTACCATCGGAAAAACGAAAAAGTACAAAAATCTCTCTCAATAAATTCTAATTTAATAAGGACCCTGTGTTCCGGTTAACCATTATAAAGAATCTAAAAGGTACCATTTGAAGAATAGAAAAGTACAAAAGTGTTCCCACTTAAAGAATATTATTCAGTCAAGACCATGTGTGTTAAAATTAATGTTCCTAGGTTGAATATTTTAGAAAATTAAAAATGTACCATTTATGAGATAAAAAGTACTAAAAAGTTCTCTCTTAAAGAATCTTATTCAATGAGGACCGTGTATGTTTAATAATCATGTGTTTTGAATTCATATTAAAGAACATACAAAGATATCATTTGAAGAAAGAAAAAGTACCAAAAGTGGAAGAAATTTTACCTAAGTGGAAAGTACTAATAAAAAGCGTAAAATTTTTCCCCTTTTCGCTGAGAAATACATATATTTTTTCGAGAATTAAGTTTACAAAATGTTCCGTATTTAAATCTATATATCACAGATACAACTCAAACGATTCAAATCTGCATTCATTTATTCCAAAAAAATAGTGCTTTCAAAAAGTACCAAACAATTTACTCGTATTTGGTTCTATATAGGCCTTAGTACTCGAATTCCAAAATAATATACCAACAGCTTATTTTGTGTGAGTAAATAAACTACTTTTTAAAATTTTATAAAAATTGGCTCAATGAGTTTGAATAAAATAAAATTTCCCGTTTTTTCCCTTTTTGGTACTTTTTTCCTCAGTGAAATAGCAAAAGTTTTATTACAATAAATATTACAAAGTTAGTCCGTAATTTAATAGGAATAATTCAATAAACCAAAAAAGTTTTCTTAATGTGCTAAAAAAAAAAGTATCATAAATACAGTTTTCTCCCTTTTACACCCAAAAAGAACTGAATTTTAAAAAAGTACGAAACAGGTGTCTCACAATTTTGGGAGATGTATCCAAAATATTTGTAAAAATGTTATTATGTTAATTAGTTCAAAAGTTATAAAGGGCCAAAAAGGTACCAAAATCACCTTTTTACACATTTTTACCCCTTAAAAGAGCGAATTTAAAAAAGCGCATTTTAAGAGTAGATACAGGTGCATTTAAATTTTTTCTTGTATCACTAATATTGTGTAAGATAATTAAGAAAACCTGTTTTACCCGTTTTTCCCCCTTTTTACCCGTAAATGTACAAATTTCCAAAAATCCCTCCTTAGTGGATCTACATAACCAAAAACACATCTACTGTCAAAATTTCATGATTCTAGGTTCAGCCGTTTGGGCTGTGCGATGATGAATCAGTAAGTCAGTAACGCTACTCTTTTATATATATAGATAAGCTGTTAATATATGGGGCAATTTCCTGTCAAGTGACTCATCTCAAAAAATCGATTGGGATGAAATTTGTACCAAGGTTAGTTCTATTGGATAGTAGTCAGAATTTTCCAGCTCTGTCAGTCAAGTACTGCCGGAGTTAGAGGGAGTTAAAGTTGGAAATTTTCTTATAATGTATTGTGCTTTTCATGGGCCTATCTACCACAAATGGGTGTGTTCTTGATGAACACATTCCATAGAAATATCGGTAGAACCGTGAAATACACCCCTCGTGTATTCTAGTGAATTAATAAATTTTTCGTTCCAGTATCCCCGAAAGTTTCTTTGAGTCCCCGACTTATATTTTATATTTTTCGTTTATAACATACTTATGAACATACTTTCTGAAAATTTTCGTAAGAAATCTTCTTCGCGATCAAAGTCGAGGTTAATTGCATTAGATATACTTTACATCAACTTCTGTGTGATTGGCCGACTTTTGTATCGGAATAAGAAGTCTTCAAAAAAGACACTTGTAAACAATCTGCAAACAATCAAATTTTGTTGAAAGTGCCAGTTGGTTCTTTCAGGAGCAGCAAAATTTACAGAATTACTCAATATTTAAAGAAAACTTTCTGTAAATGTATCGTGCTACATACTACATTTACGGAAATCGTTTTTGCAATAATTGATTAATAACGAAGTAAAATATTTTTTTTAATTCAAAATGTTACGAACATTATTAATTATAACATAAATAATTAAATTTAATAGATATTTAGATAAACGATTAATAGCGGAATTTTCGTGTTTGCCCATAGGCATATATATTTTAACCCCCTTATTCACAAACAAAATTTTTATTTTATAAACGGTTTATAAATTAGATTTTGTATGAAAATTTTGTTTTATAAACCTTTAATAAAATAAAAATTTTGTATGTGAATAAGGGGGTTAGTCTTTCCTGTTTATATTATACATTTCTTATGCATCTGGGACAACAGGCGTCTCATTAACGATTCTTCTAGTGATTTCATTTTCCCCTTCACACCTTATAGTCATCAAAGCATTTGCTTCACTATAACTAAATGATATCGTTATCTGGCAAATCTTTTGATTATTTCTAAAATCCAACACCGAGACTTCATAAGTATAAATTTCATTGGGTATGAATTTGTAAATTGAATCAATACCGCGTGATCTGACAAAAAGTAAAAAAAAGAAAAGATTTTTTAAATTATATAAAAACACTTAATAAAATTCCGTATTCATTAAATTTATATCAAATTGTATTGTATTGTATTGTTGGGTATTAAAAATTAAAAAAAGGAAAACTTACGTGTAAAGTTCCTCCCCGTTTTCATTTATCTTATTCAAAGCTGTATGTAATATTACTGCAGCATTCTCGAAATCATTGCCAAATAACTGAAGTGACGAGATATATAGTTAATTAATTTAACATTTTCATAGAAAATCTTTATAATTTCTTACTTTTTCAGCATTACACTTTAGCAGAATTGTAGCCAAGAAAATAGAAGCGATAATTTTAAACATTTTCGAAATAAGTCTATATATTTTTTAAATAAACAGTTGATTTACATTAGTTTTAGTTTATATACAAAATTGTTATTGCACCATTAAATTTAAATTAAATGAAAACATTAAATTGGAAACATTCAATTTTGAATACCTATTATTAACCCGAAAATGTACTAGATTTCATCCATCGGTCTGTCTTCCATAATTTACTTAAAAATATTAGTATTTATATCGAATTTAAATTTCAAACATCGGTCGTAAGTTTCTAGATTGTTCTTAGAAACATATCACTATTTAAAATTCTGTACAATTCGGTAAATATCTTAAAGGCCCCACTAAAGGAGTTCTTCCGAATGCCTATTACTATTATTACCCAACAGTTCGGTCGGACAGTCCCGAACTATCTATTTAACCTGCCTCTTAGGGTTACCAATAGCCACCGACTGTCCAGTTGACTAGCTATTTTGACATGTGCTTCTCCTACGAGAAAGTCAATCGTCACACCATAGATTACAAAGGGACAGACAAAAAGCTTATGTTTGTTTTTTTAAGTGTCCCCTCTATCGCTTACAAAGGGGACACTAAAGTGAAGATTATCTTCACCGTCGTTTACAAAGAGTACATCCGTGACAAAAGACGAATTAGAGCCAACCAGTTGGTTAGACATTAGTAGAAATCATTGTCTTTTTCGGAGGCATTGACTCTTTCTTAAACTGCTGGGTAATGATAAATTTGGTTAAAGAAGTGTGGCAATTAAATAATGCTTAAATATAAAACTGCTATAATCTGCATTCAGGTTTGTGAATAGAATAGTTAACATCTTAGTTACTGATGTTTATTTACAGATGTCGCATTTTAATCAAGCATTCATAAACATTAAGGTTCTGGACTCAGCTAAAATGTGAACATGTAGAAAACAACGCTAAATTGGAATAAAAGTTGAAACTCAGAGACCACTTTTAAAAAATTGAACTGCTCTGAATCTGTATCTGACCTCTGGAATTTCATTTAATGTCGACATATTGCAGTTCCAGATTTTATAAGTAAGTTCAATCCTTTCGAAAAGTAAACTTTGACCTGTGTTTAAAAAAATTGTTAACCTGCGCACCGGAAAGAATTATATACGATTTTGATCAGATGCCACGCCTACTTTTGTGTTACATTCATATTTACTATATGTATTTTGAACCGATGTCTTCCAATCGGCATGAAATTTTTACCAGTGTTTGTCCTATTGGATAGTAGTTTAAGCTTGACATTTTTGCCAAAGATATGTTTCTTCTTATATATGGGCAATTCCATGAAAAGGTAAACCACGCCTGAAAAAATAAAAACCCCTATAACTTTTCAAAAATTGGTATACATATGATCTTTTATAGCACCAAAGACGAAGACTGTTGAAAATTTTTGAAATCGGTCTATTTTTACACCTCCGCCCCCATACAAACGGACCCGCAAACATCACTTTTTAGCTCATAATTCTGTTAATTAAAATACTATTCCTTCCAAAATCTGCAGATCTATAATGTATATAAGCCTAAACCATTATGGCGATTTTCATAACGATTGGACCTCATTTGACCCTAGTTCCATTCAAAGTTTAATTTCAGAAAAATCCTTAAACGTCCGTAACTCACTTATAAGCACTAGTATTATAATAAAATTTGGCACAAATAAGTTTTATATGAATAAAAATCCTAGTCGCCATATAACTACTGCCATGTCCGACTGCACTTTCCTACTCCTTTTTATTTGTTGAGGTGAGTGTGTGTGCATATATTTCCAAAATATATATTTTATAACCTAAAAAAAATTCAGGAGAAAAATCTGTACACATACAATGTGTTGCGTACGATATTCAAAAATGTTCATTATAAAATTATATTAATTTTTTTTTTCTTATTTAAAAATTGTGGATTACGAATGAAAAATATGTCCCATAGTGTAAGAAATTAAAACAAAAAAGATAAACCTACAGAATTCCCAGATTTTCGTAAATATTTACATGTACTTTAAAAACATTTCCGTTTTTCGTCACATATGATATCGCCATATTTTAATCCGTATTTTGGAAAACAAGCTTCCGAAAGGGATGATTCCTTTGGCAAATATAGTATTCTCAGAATGGAGCAGAGTGTCAATATTGTTTTCCAAGTACTCCCATTTTTACCAAATCTATACCCATACCTATTGTTCGGAGAAAAAAGTTTTCATTTAGATAGCTATATTTTAAAAGAAAGCTTAGTTGTATTCCATTAAGAGCTTTTTGATCGCTTAGTGGGATGCGAGTGGGACAAAGGGCACATTTGACATGGACATTTAAAGGGTGTAATTTCTTTGTTACCCATCCGATTAGAAAATTGTTTATATTTTCTAGAAGTGCTCAACTTTTTTCTGGATTCAAAAATAACAGATTTTGAATTGGGAAAAATTAAAAGATTCCATATGCTAAAAAATTAAAAAAAAACTTGTCTTAGAAAATATTTATTTTTGTAGATATACCACTCGCATACCATTAAGCTACCAAATAGCTCTTAAAGAAAAAGATCTTAGCTTTCTTTTGAATATAAAATAAAAAATTTTGGAATAAAATAATAATTTTCCAAAAAAGTCCAAACTATTTTTTTAAATATTTGAATATATTTTCCGAAACAGCTATCTGAACTGTTTGGAACAAATTTTGCTAACAACAATAAGTAATACATATTTATATTGAAAACAACAACATTTAATGTATGTACTTTCAATATTTTGAAACATAATATCGATACAAATTACAGAAACCATCAAAATCGATAAATTAATTATCATTATCTAGACTTTTCAAAATATTAATGAATAATTTCTCTTTAGGTATTTGTTATTCTAAAAATAACATTACAATACTAGTAGTTAATAACATTAAGCAAATTACTTTGTTAAAAGGGAAATTTCATATTACAAAATAAAAATACATCAAAAACAGTCAGTTCATAGATTTTAAGGGCATAATGACCCTGCCTTAACAAAATAACTTTCGCTTTTTTTTGCTTTTATTGAACACAGCATCCATAACTAATTTGTAGGTTTGTTATTTTTGTTCATCTTTAAACGGTTTTTGTGTGGTGAATATACATACTTACATACTTATGAGTAAAACAACTGAAATACTATTGAATTGATTATCTACAAATAATAATATAAAACAAACAATAACAACACGCATACACACACGTATATATAATATGCATTAATAAAATTGATTTCATAAATGTTTAAATACATGTTAATAGCTGTGGTTAATGTGGTAAGAACGACATAAATAATGCCCTACACAGTTTAAATATTAAATTATGTTATACATATTTAGTAAATTACTTCATTTAATCGTATGAATAAGTATTTCTTATTTAATTATTTTCTTAAAGTCTTGTTTGTTTCAAATATACACTTTATTAACCTTTACTATTCCTGACCAGAGTATGTGTGTAGAGCACATAAGTTCCATATACATTATAATTTTCACCTTTAAGTTAATGTATAAAAAATAAAGTTTACTCACCTTAAACAAAAATCAACAGAGAGCAAAAAATTAAAATTACCTCAGTAACATTTGTGGCCAAAAAAGTAGCAGCTAAGAGGAATAATAAAAGAAATTATGAAGGTATAGTCTGGGATGGATGATCGTTTGTGTAAAAATATGATTTTTTTCAATTTATTTTTGAAAATTGTTTTTTTTTATACCCACCATCAAAAATGGACCAAAAATGGGTCTTTATTATATAAAAAGACGATCTAGCCATGTCCATCCTTCTGTCCGTCTGTTGAAAACACAAAAGAGTTGGAACGATAATAAATAGATAACAGATATTTTACACATTTTTTTTTTGTTGATGAAGGAAATATGTATGTAGTTTTACGCTCATTACGGTGTATAATTGACCCTCCCTAGATATGTAAATAACATAAGCTGATTGGTATGTTTAAGTCAGATAACGCCTGTTACTGTTTGGCAAATGTTTGAACATGAATATCTTTCCAATCTTTCTCGGTTCCAAGAATTGTAGAAACAATGTGTTACTGGTGTCAAAGAATTAGTTCCATAAAAACTCTTTAGTTTTACTTTAGTATCAAAACAATATGCCACAGAAATTTTAAGATTTTTTCCGGAATTACAATGTGGATTATCTCAGAAAACAAATTTTCACGATTTTAATGAGGAAATCCCGATTATTCCGTAATTTAAAGTCATGATAGAAATCTTCAAATAGTCAAATAACAGAACCTTCATCGCGGAGCGAGTCAAGGTTATTTAAAATGGATATATCGTAAAAGTTCTACGTTCTAGATTATTTTGAAACCACATCTAGATTAAAGAGATCTTATGATATCATACACAGAGAAAAAAAAAACCGATAGTAAAGTACCGAAATTGATACAATTCGTTATCAAAAGTGAGCTTACGACATTTGTTAACATTTAGACAACGGATGTGTATAACAACGCAACGTTGTGTTTGACAACATAGGGTTGTCATTTTGATAACACATTGTTTTCACTCAGAAAAGATACACTCCAAATGAATAAATAAATAAATAAATATTATAAAATAAATTTAATTTTCGTTCGTCGCAGTCGTAGATCGAATCTGCGTTTATGATTTGACAACGTCTTGTGTTATTTATTATTTTTTTTTGTTGATTTGATAACATCGTGTATTTTTTATGTTAATTTGACAACTATCGGTACATACTTCGACAACGAAATGTTATTGAAATATTATGAACACTTTGGTGCCAATTTGGTACCAAGCGTGTATAATTTTAAAACGTCTTTTTTCCATCTGTGTAATCATATACTAACAGTTTTGTAAGAAGTATTATATCGATGAATCCTTAGAAAATTTGTCAAATTTAATTCTTATAAAAATATTTCTGAGCCTCCACCGCCATCAGTGGTGATAGAGGGTATATATAACTTTGTGTAACACCAAGAAATATTCATCTGAGACCCAACAAAGTATATATATTCTGGGCCCTTATCAAAGTCTGAGTTGATTTAGCTATGTCCGTCTGTCTGTGT